GTATGGGAAGAGGGAAAGCAAGGAGAAGATCCTTTTTTGTCATTGGTTGATCTTAAAAACTCTGTGTGGTCTCAGCCTACCATAGCAAAATAACCCTGGTACCGCTAGTAGAAATAACATGCTTAGATGTAATTAACAAAGTATATGTTTAAATCAATAATGAACTTCTTTTTCATTTGAAATATATTTTAGGGCGTCTCGTTTTAAACAGTATTCAATTTCTCAACAACAAAATAATGATTATCATGATACAGATGCTAATTTAGCATTTACAATTCCTCGTGAATATATTACTCGACAAGATCTAACATCTGCTTCTTTATTTCATGGTAATTTTTTTTAAATAAAATAGTTTCGTACAAAATATTGAAAAGCAGTGACAATCAGAGTTTTTTTTTGCTTAAAAGAATTACATAATTACTACTTATTTAACATTTTTGTTCCAAAGATAAAAATTGATATGAGCATTTCAAAATTATTCTACATAAAAAACTTATTCGAACAGTTCAAGTTGATGTCATAAGATTATTTTTTCATTAGGTGGTATTGATAGTCCATCTGTAAATGCATATGATCCAATATTAAAACGACCTGTCCATATAACAAAATACCTATATCTAAAATCAAAAACAAGTACTCAACAATATATCAATCATCTCTATGAACGAATTTTTATAACAAGTAATTTATCACATCCAAATGTTCGTCGAATATTATCTTGGTATATTGCTGATGCATGTCTTTATTCAGTCACTAGTATTATACATAGAACATTACGTGATGCAATTCAATCAGAAACATTTTCATTAGAACGTATTTATCGTTTGTCATTACAAATAATTCATGGAACAATTTATTTACAATCAAAAGGTCTTTGTCCATTAACACCATGGTATTTTATTTATTTTATTCTTTGTTTTTCTTTTCAATTAGTTTTTAAACAAGAATTATTTTCATTAGTCTATATGTTTTTTAATCAATATAAGGTATACAACAAATATTGAATTAACACGTGATGATCGTATACGTCTATGTTCACCGACAATATCAACAACAAAACTTAATGGTGGTGTTGTGCAACATCATCATTTATGGCGACATGCACCTGAGAGTTTAATTAAGATGATAATTGATCAAGACACTTGTGTTAAGTAAGTCAAATGAGTGCTTTTTTAATTTCATTCATTCATTCATTCATTCATTTGATGAATGTAATGTGGAGTAAACAATCATAAACATTACAAAACTAGATAACGAAATATCACTTGGTTTACTTATTAATAGAATTCGTTTTTAATAACAGATAAATTTCTAAAGAAAAGATCTTTCACCACTATTTTATAGTTTATTTTTCCTATACATACAACACGTAAAAGTTTTTTGAAATATAAATATTTTCTCTATTATTAAATATTTTTCTGTTTTCATCTAATGTAAATAGGCATGCTGAGTAGACCAAGAATTTTTTTAAAATGCTTCACTCTAGCATCGTTTTGACAAGACATACATATTATTTTATAAAAAACTAATTCTAAATTAATAACGATTAGTAAAAATTTAGGTGTCTCTTGTCCTGATCTATCGTAAATCATTCTATATAAGAAACTTTATTTATCACTTGAACTAATTGTTAAAACCTTCTCGTATTACTGATAAATACAATTTTATATTGAATTTCAAAAGAATTCAATTGAAACCTATTGAAAAATAATTAATTCTAATCTTCATCTAGCAATAAAACAAATGATAATTCCAAAGAAGATGTTTGGTCAATAGGTTGTATAATAGTTGAAATGATGATAAAGTCAATATTATTTCGTCCACAAAATGATGATCCATCATTACAACTATTCTGTATTGTTCAATATGTTGGTGGTTTAACATTATCATTATGTGAACATTTTCCATTTCATGTAAAAAAATTATTTTCAAAAATAAAATTTGATGGTCATCAACAACGCCTTCATAGTTTATTAAAACAAATATTTAACCATGAACGAATAAATCTTCATGAACATCATCTTCATAAGAAAGAATATTTATATGATTTATTAAAAGAAATTTTTCAATTTCCGCAGGATAAACGTATATCATTACAATCATTAATTGAACATCCATTTTATTCAATAAATTCTTCATTAAAAAATTCTAAAATACGAATAAATTCTTCAACATTATTATTATTACCACCAATAAAAACATCATCGATTCGAATTGATGATCTTATACATTTATGTGTAAAATTAAATTTAACACATTCTCGATGGATTTTAACACTTAAAGAACGTTGTCTATTTGAATTGATTTTACATATTAAAAATTTTAGTCGATTTGAATCTTATAAATATGGTTTAAGTCAATCACTTCAATTAGAGATTAAAAATCTTATCTGTTTTTTAACAAGTAATTAGTAAATGGGCATATACTATTATATAAATGTACTTTTTCTTCCATTAAAATTTTCTTATTCCATTGTATAATACAACATGTAAATATGGTTTTATGAGAAATTTTAAACCCGTATGACACAAAAAAGAAACGATTCTTTTACTTTTCAGTTGATAACTAGGTTCTTCTTTAGTTTATTGAATACCATATAAGATAGTTTCGTGCTTCTTCGAACGTTTGTTTTTATTTATATGTAATATGTATGTTTGTTTTATTTCATATTTTTATCAAAGCAAAAAAAAATAAGTAGTACAGCTATATACGAGTACAAAAAAAGTAAATAACATTTTCTTTTTCCTTTTGGTTTATATATTTGCTTTTAGATGTAAAAAATTAACATAAAATTTAAAGTAATACTAATATTCGATCATTGAATATCCGTAACATGAAGCTCATGTTTTTTCCGGTGACAATGATTGAAGAATTTCCACATGTTTTACTTTATTATAATTTTTCACATAAAAAGGATCGTTATTTTTTATCACCATACGAAGTAGAAATATCAAGACATGGTTCACAAAGAACTGTATGTGATCTTATACATTCATCTGATTTTCTATGTGGTTTACTTGATATTGATCGACCAACAATAATGAAAGAAATGTCATTAAATTTATCAAATATAACATCAATTGGTTCAACATCAACAACAACAACAGATAATAGTCCAACGTCAAATAATGAAGAAACATCTAGTCGTCGTGTATTATCTTGTTCATCACCAACAACAAATACAAATTTGAATGATCCACTTTTAACAATGATTGAAAAACGATTAGATTTTAAACATCGCTGTATGTTTTATTCAACTGGTCCAACATCAGATTTGTGTGGTAAGTTAAATTTACTAATATAGACATTATCTCAAAAATAATATTGCTCATAGTGCACATCATTTAACTGAAAACAATAAAAGAATTTTTTCTAGCTTATAAAGCACTTAAGTTTTGTTTGTTTTTTTTTATTTTTTTAAATATGACGTACATATGTTTTCAATAATCTATGACTATTACACACCAGACAGTTGCTCTCGTGACATTTGTTCCAGAGCAGCGATTACTCTAGGGACAATTGCTTCTGTAATGTTTGCTCTTCACCAACAGTTGTTTCTTAGCAACACTTTCCCTCTATGAATAATAAACAGAACTCTTATTGATTATAAATATAATATAAATTTATTGAACTAAGATATAAAAATCACTAATGAAATACTAAATATCTTATTAATTAAACATAAGCAACAAAAGCAGAAACATAGAACTAACGTGTGAATGTAAGTATGGATATTACTGAATAGAAGGCTCACACTCATACCTTCAAAAGTGCCGAGTGTTTCTAGGATACAACAGTCATGTTACTGCTTTCAGAGATTATTTTAATCAACTTATTGATCTGTCTACTAAATCGAGAGATAAATATACAAAAAGCATAGTAAATTTACTATCAAATAACTGAAACCTAGCAATGAGTTCAGAAATGTGTAGTGCTAGTGTAGATACTAAACAGTGAGTCATCGACAGACAGGACACCGTAACACTGACTATGCCTGTGTCTGCATTAGCTGTAAGACTAAGATACTCTATCAAAATATACCTTTTTGGTTGCGTTGTAGCCCAATGCTTCAATGAACATCAATGTCATTGTGCACTACCTACATAGAGTCGTCAATCAGCAAAATGAAAGTGCACATCCCTAGATGAATGACGATATTTCTCACGATCTGTGAAAGCAGAGGCATGTTGAGATAGTTAACATCTGTTTCTTCTTCACTCATGCTATGACAATAACATTAGCTCTATGGTAGATTCACATACAGTTATATTGAAATATCTCATAAATCGAATAAATTATGAAGCATCTATTTTAATAAATTTTCTATAAAAACTATATTCTAAATCGATCTTTAAGGCAAACATTCATATAATTTTATTTAATAATTTCTTTAGTTTGTGCTCTCGATGTTGATTTTCATGCATCAGTTGCATGTAATGCTATTGGTTATGCAAATTTACTCACCTATGATGAATTAATAACACAAAAAGCAAATAATGAAGAAGATAATAATAATAATAATAATACTGTTCAGCGAACACCAACAAAATTCGCTCATAAAATGCGTCCTCAACATCGTCAATATATTCATCAATGGATATGTATACGAGATATTGTTGATGGTTTAATAACATGTAATCATACACTTAAAAATAAAATTATTATGGAAATTCTTTCGAAAATGATTCTTTGGGTTAAACAACGAAATGAATTAAAACTACTTGAATTAAAATTAAACAAATCTGATTCATCATCAATTATAACAACAAATATTAAATTATTTAAAGCACGAGCACGACAACTTGTTTGGGATTTAATGGAAATGAAGTAAGAATTTTAATTAAAAAAAAATCATATATTTATGTAATTATTATCAATGATTATTTTTCATAGAAATGAAGTTCGTTATCCTCGTCCAGTTCATGGTCGTATCCCAAATTTTCGTTATTGTGAAATAGCTTCTGAAAATGTAACTTGTTTAGAATGTTTTAAACGAGCACGTGTCATTAAAATTAATCCATCAATTGCTCAAGAATCGCTTCGCTATTTAACATTAGCCTATAATAAAGTACTTTTAACACCAACACCTTCACTTGGTTAGTAAAGCTTAACAAACAAAAAACTTCAATTAAAATTTTATTATTTATTCTTTTTCTATTTTATTAGATTCAGCATTATTTTATAAATTAGAACCAAAATTTTTACGTCGTAGTCAATTAGAATGGGCAGCAACAAAAACTGGTGCTGCTGAATTAGGTACTGTTATACAATTACAAGCATTAAAACAAATTCATGTTGATATAATTATTGTTGCATCAGTTGTTGTTAATCCAATAACTGGTGCACGTATTGGTAAAGGTAAGGGTTATGGTGATTTAGAATATGCAATTATGTCACAAATGGGTTGTGTATCAAATAAAACAATTATTATGACAACATGTCATGAAAGTCAATTAATTAATGATATACCAAATCATATTATGGAACAACATGATTTACCAGTAGATATTATTGTAACACCAAAACGATATATTTATACAAAACGTTTATTTCAACGACCAAAACGTGTCTATTGGAATAAACTTGATCCAGATATGATGATAAGTATTCCGGTTTTACAAGAATTAAAACGTTTAGAACAACAAAATATTATTAAATCTCAATAAAAAGAAAAGAAATTATAATCACAATGGTTTCTTTTTGTTGTGTGTCAGATGTTTATTTAATTAAAAGTATAAATTTACAGTGAGATATTTTTTTTTTTGTAAATTTAAAAAAATCGATAATAATGATTATAAAGTCAATAAGTATTTTCTCATGAATAAGAATTGCTTACAAGAAAAGTCAGTCCGCATGCGAATATTTTTCTCTTGCTTTTATTTTCCTCTATTTTATTTAATGTACACACAGATGTCATTCTCTTTCTTTCGTTTTTTGTGTCTTGCTTTCTTTGTGTATATTGTTGTTTATTTGTTATAATATATATTGTTCAGTTTTGTATTGTTCTGAGTAATAAATTTATAAAAACCAATAAAATAAAATGTTGTTTCGTTCGTTTTTATTGTTGTATGTAATAATTTAAAAAAAACGACTTAATAAACTTATTTATTTTATTTTATTTTTCTTCAATTATTTGCTTTGTATTTGAGAAATATTTACCATGCAAAATGTTGACTAGTTGAAAGGTTCTAAATATTAAATAAAAAACTAGTTCTAATTATTGTAACAAGAGTATATATGTGTTCAGTTAATGATGTTTGATAAACTTCAACTAATGAAAAAGCTTTGTTGTAGACAAAAAAAACTAGATAAAAAAATGGCTGATAATTATGATATTTCACGAAATCCAAGTGATTTACCTAAATCAAAAGGTATTACAAATGTTCGTCCTGGTGCTTCTCGTCAGCATTTTCTCAACTTTGACAATACGAATTCTGAACCAGAGAGTTCTCGTCGACAATTAACAGCCTGTTCTTGGCATAGTTCAATCAAGTAAAACTACCTTTCTTTTTCCGTTTATTTATTTATTTATTTTTGAATAAATTGAAACATTTTTCAGTGAGGAAAACAAAGAGAAAACAGATGTTGTGAGTTTGTGTATTCATCTATTAGATCTTCTTTTTCACATTGTCTTGGAGTGTCTTACATAACACTTTGAAGTTTTCTTGATTAACATTAACTTAGAGAAATAATTACTTATTTAGGAAGATATATTTTCTACTGAAATTGATGAAGAAGTCTATGAACGATATTCACTTCGAGGTTTGTTACCAGAACAATGGACAAGAGGTAATATTATTCTTTTTATTTTTTATTTTTTGATTTCATTCTTATTATAGGACATGGTGCAACTGATACATTAAAAAATATTACTGATAATCATTGTAGCGCATTGTAAGTAAGAAATCTGAAGTTTCGTTTTTTCTTCGATGTGTTGATAATCTGTTTTTTGTTTTTGTTCATAAAGTTATGACAAAGCCATGGAACTTATGGGAAAACGTATAAATTATGAAGAAGCATTAGTTAATATAAATAAATGTCTTCTTCTTAAACCATTTCATATTCCATTTTATGAAATTCGATCAGAAATCTATTTAAATTTATGTGATTTTCAAAGTTCAATTATAAGTTTACAAAAAAGTATTTTATATACACAAGTAACAACAGCTAATAATGCAACAAGTAATAGTCGATTATCAAAAACGGAACAACAAGCAATATCAAAACCTGTAACACCAGTTGTTTATCGAGAAGATCGATTAACAAATGATAAAATAGCATTTCTTCGATATATCTCAGGTGTAACATTATTCGATCAAAAACTTTATTTAGATGCACTGGGTATTGTTGCTAATGGTTCTAATATATTTATTACATTACCATTTCAAATTTATAGGTATTTAAATATAAAATATAATAAAGAATGAATATGTTGTTTTTTATTGTTTTAGTATCCTTTGTCTAACAGCTTTAAATAAAATCGATGAAGCAAGTACATTAATAACTCAAATGATCGAACAATATCCTCAAAATGCTGATTTATTAATTATTCGTGCTCGTCTATATTATAAAGACAAGAATAAGGTTTTTATTGAAGAATTATATTATTTTTTCAATTAGTTAAATTTTACGAAGAAAAAACAGCATGAACTTTTTGAATAACTTCTTCAATAACTTGTACAACATGTAAAACACTTGTTATAGCTTGAGTTGCTATTGTATCTTGCATTGTAGGAATTAAATTAGTTATCATATTGTTGATAGTTTGTAGATGTGTTTTAAGAAAATTACTTAATTTTGAAATTAATTCTCGAAATTGAGTTGCTAAATTACCATTAAGAAAACTTTGAAGAATTTCAAGAATTGATTGTTGAAAAGAAAGTTTAAATAATCGAAGTTCAGCTAAAAGATTTAATTTAGCGTCATTTTCTAAATCACGTTTACCAAGTGGTGGAATTTTATCACCAATCCATGATGTTACACTATAAATAGCACTTGAAACTGCATTTGTGAGAGCAGAATGAATATTTGAAATAGTACCAATAGCTGTATCAATATGTTCAGCAATTGGACTAACAACTGGACTTATGAGATCCCAAATACTCATAAGATCACGTTGTTGTGCAAGAGGAATACTAGTGCTAAAAGCACCATGGAGTTGAGCAATAAGTAAAACAATAAGAATAAGTTTCATGCTTGTGATATTCGTAAAATGTGTTTTTTGATTTGGAAAAAAACTGCTTTTTTTAAGTGTAACTAACAGATGGTTTTATTTCTCATATTTGTATTTTATCATTTTAGTTAGCACTTTGTTATTATGATGTGCGGGATGCTTTAAGGATTCAAGAGGACCATCCATTAGCCAATCGTATGATGTCTGCTCTTGAAGAAACTGCTCAACAGTCACGTGATAATTGTGTGAATATGTCAATTAAAGAACGCTTGAATGATGCTCTAGCATCAATTAATCTTTCCATACATCTTTTTCCAATTGAAGCAGAATTTTATTTACAAAGGTAAAGGAAACCAAATTCTCACTTAACATTTTTTTTATATAAATTTTTTTTTTCTTTTTTTTTTTTTTTTTTTTGTAGAAGTATAATTTATCGAAAAATGAAAAAATTTCAATTAGCAACTGATGAATGTTTACTTGTATTTGATAAAATTGGACATAATGAACAACATAAACTTTATGAACAAGTACAAAAACAATTTGTTCTTATTTATAATGAATGTTCGTTAAAATGTTTACAAACTGGTTATTATGATGATGCTATTGATTTATTAAATCGAGCACTTAATTATGAAAAACGATCGGCTGAATTATATATTAATCGAGGAGGTTACAATTGATATTCTAATAATAGAAAAGAATCTAAAAGAAAAATATTTATTTAGTTTTTTTTCTTTATAGATTGTTTTTATGCTAAAGGGAAAATAACTTACGCTTTACAAGATTATGAACAAGCACTTGAAATGGCACCAAATAATAAAGAAATAAAATTACGTATTTCTGATGTATTTTTTAATAATGCTGAACAACATTACAAAGAAAAACGATATAAGGTTGAAGAGCTTTTTCTTTTTCAATGTTAATTTTGTTTTTCTATAATTTGTTTTCTTAAAGGACTCTTGTAATGAATTAACAAAAGCTATTAATGTTAATCCATCTGTGGCAAAATATTATGTTTCACGTTCACGTGTTAAATATTTAACAGAAGATATTGAAGGAGCTCAAGAAGATATTGTTGCAGCTATATTAATTAATCCATTAGAAGATGGATGTATTGATGTTTTACCAAGACTATTTGTTGATACAACACTTGCTGAAGTTCTTAATTCATCATTAACAAAAAATGTTAAAGAAAGTTTATTAAAACGTGGTGTTCACTTAACTATTTCCTAATACACATATATATTTTTTTCTTTTTTAATTTTTATATTTTATTTGAACAAATAAAATAAACTCCGTTCATAATTCTTTTAGATTTTTGTAAAAAAAAGGAAAAAGAAAAAAAAAGTAAATGGATCCACCACCGAAAAGAAGAGGTCGTCCGAGAAAGTATGTGAGAAAAATCAAATAATATTGAGTTATACTGTAATATTTCTTTTTCCAGAACAAATATTATTCCTAATAATGAAGTTCAGACAAATAATACGAATAATGAATGTAAGATTTATTTGATTCGAGATAATTATTTATTTATTATTTTATTTATCAGTAATTGTACCAAAAATTGAAAATTTATTAACAATGAATACAATGATTGTTGAACAAAGAAAAGCAGCTAAAGTTAAAAAGAAATGTATGTTTTATAATAAGATATTCTTATCAAAGATTATTAGTATATATATTATGTTTTTTTATTGTTTGTTATTATAGACAAAGAAGCTAGTAGTGAGGAAGAATATGTAAATGAAAATATTGAAGATGAATCTGATGAAGATATTGAAATTCCAAATCGTCGATCATCAGCTGCTAAACGTAAATCAATAGCTATTCAATCAAAAGATCAAACAGAAAAATGGGGAAATTATCGAAATACAATTGATAATGGACCTGTACCACGTATTTATTTCTATTTTATTATTATAAGAAAATGTTTTTTTGACTTAATTATTTATTTATTTATTATTATAGAACATCCATTAACTTTAAATGAAATAGCATTTGATGTAGCACTTAAATTACAACATGGTAATCAAAATCAACATTTAGCAATTGATTATCTTGATCATGAAAATCAAATTGAATTTATTAAAGATACAAAAATGACAGAACAAGTTTTACTTGATACATATCGTATTCAACTTTCTCAAAATGTATGTAGAATCAAATACGTTTACTGTATTAATATAGATGTTGAATTCGATGGATTTTACGTTTTTCTTTTTCTTAGAGATTATCTATCATCTAGGAGTTAGCGTGATTTCCTAAGATAAGAACAAATATAATTATTTCTTATTAATATAACAAGAATAGAAAATATACGAAGAACATTATTTATGACTTAACAACTGTTGAGTCTACACATTTTCAATATAGATTTAAGAATTTGCGTATCTTTTTTATGGTTTAGCGGTTCCATTTTGGTTCTTGGCCTTAGTTTTTGAAAACACCGAACTCTAGTGAATGTAAGTCTTCTCTTCAATCGCACTTACATTCTCACAGCACGGATAAGCAATGAAACAGATTGATAATCTATTGGCTACCGCAGATCATAACCGCACTATAAAAGACATGTACAATTTAATATTGAATTGATTTGAAATCGGATGTATATACATATATATATCTGTCTTCCATCCTTAACGAACTAATAAAATATATATTATTTTATTTCTTCTATACAGACGGACGATGGTCCATTATTTCTTCAACCATTTGAATCTACTGTACATAAAAATAAAGTATTTACAATAAATACTGGTATTGGTCCAATTCAATCTCTTGATTGGCTTTCAATGCCAACATCCCAATGTTCTGTGACACATCAATATTTAGCTGTAGGTTGTTCACGTTCATCCTTAGTATCAAAACATTTCTATGATGAAATGTATTCATATAAAAATTATATTCAAATATGGATGTTTGATTTATCAAATATGAAAACAAGTTTAACACCAAAAAATCATCAACTTATTTGTTTAATAGCAATTAATGATAGTGGTTCTATATGGGCATTAAAATGGTCTCCATCATCTTCATTACCATCAGCTTATTTAGCTGCTGGTACAAGTTCAGGTTCAATTTATTTATATAAAATATTTTCTAAACCATTGACATCATTATATGAATCATCAAATCAAATTTTATCATTTTATAAATCAACAAAATCAATTCGATTTGCACTTACTGAACCAAATAATCATACACAATGTTTATCTATTGATTGGTCTAAGCACGATCCAAATCGTCTTGCTGCTTGTTACAGTAATGGTTTTATTGCTCTCTTTCATGTTAATACAGAAGTAAAATATTTAATTGAAATTGTAAAAAAAATATCAATCAATACATCTAAATATTATCAATTTGTTTCGTTTTTCTTTAATATTTAGACAGCAAATCAAGAGAAAATTATTTTTCCTATTCGATCTTTTCGAATTTCTTACACACCAATTCGTGATATTAAATTTTTAAATGATTCATCAAATCTTGTTTTAACTATTGCAAATATTGCAAAAAGATTTTCGTATAAAAACTGAAATTTTTTGTAAAAAAATTTTATTTTCATCGTTTGTTCTATTTTCTGTTTAAGTGTATGGGATTTCGATGATCATTATCAACATTTAATTGATATTGAAAATAGTGGTACAGAATCAGTTATAAGATCATTAACTGGTGATCTTTTATGTGTAAAAGAATTTACACCGTATGTTTAACAGAAAAAAAAAACAAAGGAATATAATTTAGTTTTGTTTATTTTTTTATTCATATAAGATCATATGCTCGAACAAGTGCTTATCTTACATATGAACCTGAAACAAATAATCTTCCAAAACATATTTATTTTCAATCAACACCTGATCATGTTTTAAGTGTAGATTATTCACCATGGCTTGATTCAATTTTACTGTGTGATTCAAATGGTACAGAAATTTTTTTTCTTTTTGTTTTTCGTCTTAAAGAAAATGATTTATTTTAGGTCAAGTTTATTTCTTTCGATTAACAAATTTTGTACGATGGACAAGAAAAAATGAATGTTCATTAAAATATCGATTAGTAAAACGCAGAACACTGAATGATTGTCTTTTGTTATATATAAATGAATTATTTATTTTAGAAATTATTTAATTTAAATGCAATAATCAAACCGGAAAAACAAGAAGAGATATCAAATCGTAAGAAAAAATATTTTTTATTAGTACGACGAATGCTAAGGAGAGATACAACCAATCGTAAAACATTCTGTAAAATACGATCTAAAAGTGCATATAAATAATGTCTCATTATAATGCATAGACTAAATAAGGCATCAATCGAGAATTAAGTAAAAGAATGGTAAAGAAATGGGTCATAAAATAGATAGCATTAGGTGTACACAGTTGCAGTTTACTGAGTACACGAGCACATTGACATTAGTTTGTTAGTCAACACAAATGCTAGCAAGACCTTCTAA